GCGGTCCCATTGTCCCCGATCCCCCCATGGGTCCCCCCATTGCCATCCCCATCCCCATCTCCATGCCCATGCCCATGCCCATGCCCATGCCCATGCCCATGCCCATGCCCATACCATTCATCCCTGCGCCCATGCCCCCTTGTCCAATGCCCCCTTGCCCCATGCCCCCTTGCCCCATGCCTCCTTGCCCCATCCCCCCTTGCACCATGCCCCCGTGCATGATGCCCCCTTGCGCCATGCCCGCTTGCCCCATGCCCTCGTGCGCCATCCCCCCTGGCGGCAGCAGCATGCCAGGCATGCCCGGCCCCGCCAGGCCATAGGGCATTGCTGCACCAGACACAGGGTTAGGTGGAAATTGCTGCGGCATGCCGGGTTGCTGCGGCATGCCGGGTTGCTGCATGGGCAGTGAAAACTGTTGCGGGGCCATGGGCGGAAGCATGCCTGCTGCCACCATGGGTTGCGCCTGCAGCATCATATCCGCCCCCTGCTGCCCCATCTGCTGCTGCCATGCGAGTTGCTGCTGCCTCAGGAATTCTGCCACTCCGCCTGGTGGGAACATGCCAGGAGGTGGGCCAGAGGGGCTGCTGCCCACGAGCTGATGCGCAGCCAAGGGGGGTAAGCCCGGTATAGGGAGTGCAGCAGAGGCTCCACCACCACCAGCAACACTGCTAGCACCAGCAGCACCAGCAGCACCACCAGCGGCAGCGGCTGCAGCAGCAGCGTGCATGGCAGTGGCAGCATCCCAGGGCCCAAACCCAGACGCCACCGCCAGCTGACTCGCGCCACTGCTCGTGCTGGGGCGAGGGGGCATCCCACTGCCCCCTCCCGCACCCGCTCCCACACCTTCGCCCGCACCCCCTCCACTACGCCCCCCACTGCTATTGCCAGCGCCACCAGCCTGCCCAGCCTCCCTCTCCCACGCCCCCAGCACTTCTGCCGAGTCTACTGTCGCCCGCCGTTGGTGCTTCCCCCCTGCCTTGCCGTCTTTCCCACCGCCAACTTTGGCGCCCTTAGCGAGGGCTGCCTTACTGCGGAAGGGGGACTCGTGTCTGCTGGTGCTGCTGGCCGCGGTTGCTGCTGCTGCCGCCACTGCTGCTGCCACCACTGCTGCTGCGCCTGTGGAGGGAGAGCGACGGTGGCACCTCTGCTGCGGCGGCAGCGGCGGCGGCAGCTGCTGCTGGTGTTGCTGCTGTTGCTGTTGCGGTTGCTGTTGCTGTTGCTGCTGCTGTTGCTGCTGCTGTTGCTGCTGCTGTTGCTGTTGCTGTTGCTGCTGCTGTTGCTGTTGCTGTTGCTGTTGCTGTTGCTGCTGCTGTTGCTGCTGCTGTTGCTGTTGCTGTTGCTGTTGCTGTTGCTGTTGCTGTTGCTGTTGCTGTTGCTGTTGCTGGTGCTGCTGTTGCTGTTGCTGTTGCTGTTGCTCCTGGTGTTGCAGCGACTGTTGATGCTCATGCTGTGGTTGCTGCAATTGCTGCTGGTGGTGGTGCTGCTGCAAGTGGTGCTGCTGCAACTGCGGCAGCTGCTGTTGCTGTTGTAGTTGCTGCTGCCACTGCTGCTGGTGATATGAGGTCGCATGGTACGTGTGAAATGCACCTAGTTCCCCGGGTCCCTCCTGACCTTCCGCCCCTCTCCCTCCACTTCTCTCACCCGCCTCTCCCCCTCCCGCCCCATAACACTCCGCCCCGTTTTCCTCCCCCTCCTTCGCCTCCCGCTCCGCCTGTTCCCCCTTGGGCATTCGTTCCAGGTCAGCAGCAGCACCAGCAGCAGAGGCGGCAGCGGCGGTGGTGGCGGGGGAGTAGAGGGCGTATTTCGAGATTTGCAGGCACTTGCCGCAGCGCAGGCGCTGATAGCCCTTGGCGGACGGCGGCAGGCTGGGCGGCACTGCCAGCGACTTGTTGCAGCTCTGACACTGCAGGGGCGCGGGGAGGGGGAGGAGGGAGCAGGAACAAGGGAGAGGGATGGGGGAGGGAGGTGAATAGAAGGAGGCAGATGGAGAGGGGCAAAGGGAGTCTGTTTTTGAGGCGGTTCAGAAAGTGTGGCCGCACTGCAGGCGGTGGTTGCTGACTGGTGGCAGCCCGTGGCGTGGCGGGTGGAGCGACATGTTGCACGGCATTGCCAGCGACTTGTTGCAGCTCTGGCACTGCCAGGGGGTGTAGGGAGGATTGATGAGGGAGTGGGAACAAGGGATAGAGGTGAAAATTCAGAGGTAGACGGAAAGGGACGAAGGGAGTCTGCTTTTGAGGCGCCTCAGAAGCACTGGCGGAGAGGGGAGAGAGGGGGGTGAGGGGTGAGGGGAGAGGGGCGAGGGGAGAGGGGAGAGGGGAGTGGGGAGAAGGGAGAGGGGAGAGGGGAGAGGAGAGAAGGGAGAGGGGAGAGGGGAGGGGAGAACGGAGAAGGGAGAAGGGATAGGGGAGAGGGGAAAGGGGAGAAGGGAGGGGGGAGAAGGAGAGGGGAGAAGGGATGGGGGAGAAAGGGAGAGGGGAGAAGGGAGAGGGGAGAGGGGAGAAGGGAGAGGGGAGAGGGGAGAAGGGAGATAGGCGAAAGGGCGAGAGGAGAAAGGAGGAGGGAAGAAGGGAGAGGGGCGAAAGGAAGAGGGGAGAAGGGAGGGAGTGAAGGGAGAGAGGTGTAAAGAGGGGGGAGAAAAAAGAGGGATTAATACTGTCAGCAAGCATTGAACCGAGCTGGCATCACAAGGAACCGAGCTGGCATCACAAGGAACGGAGCTGGCAGAGAAGGGGCGCGGTTCCAATCCGAATCGGACCTTCACGATCTGAGGTGCGTCAGGCGGGGGCAGCATGGGCAGTCCCTCCGCATGCCTGCCTCCCCCGCCGCTCTTCTCCCCCTCCACAGCACCAGAGGCAGCGCTAGAGGGCGCAGCAGCAGCAGCGCCAGCGCCCGCGTCTGCGGGGAGCTCTGCGCCAGGCTGGTGCGCCAGGCGCGACAGCAGCCGCCCGGACCCGTGCGAGCGGCTCCTGCTGTGCCCCCGCGATCCCCCCACGGGTGGAATCCCTTTCAGCGCGCCCGGGGGAGCGGAGGCGGCGGAAGCAGCGGAGCAGCTGGAGACGGCGGAAGAGTTGGTGGCGGTGCGGGGTATCGGAGGGGCTTCTAACGATGCGTTGGCGGCGAGCGCCGCCGCCGCCGCTGCCCTGCGCCCCTTGGGCTTGGGGGCGTCGCAATCGCTGGCGCTCATGGGCGCGGGGGGCGAGGTGGAGAGCACCGGGTCGAACGAGCTGTCGAAGCTGCACCCGCCCGCCGTCCGCCTCCTCCGCGGAACTGCACGGGTGGAAGGGGCTGTTCTGGCGGACGGCACTCCGCCTGACGGCTCTCCGCCACCTGTCCCCCCTCCTTCGCTTCCTCCGCCTCCTCCTTGCGCGTTCTCTCTGCCCAATTGCCCCGTTCCCGTTCCGCTGTCCGCATTCCAACTGGCTCCAGCGTCCGCGTTATTAACTGACTCGTCAAACGGACGCAGGTCTCCTAGATTCTTCCTAACGCGCGCGACTAAACCGTCTGGCTTCGCGCTACCTGAACTGCACACCCTACTGACGCTTTCACTACCGGTATTCCTGTCCTCTAAGCCCTCTTGACTCTCTTCCTCCGCCTTGTCCCCATTCTTGACGCCGCCTTTCTTGACCTTTTTACCAGAATTTGCCTTCGCGTGCGCTGTGCCGTTAGGGTTTCGCGGTCGGAGATTTCGAGGCGGCCATTCCCCGTCCAGTTTTGTTTGCGATGTTCGCGAGGCACCAGAGGAAGCGTGCGACAAATCGTGCGACGAGGAGCCGTCGTGGCTCGTCGCGGGTGCGAGCGTGGCGAGCATGAACGCATCGGTGGACGAGTAGTCAGCCGCGTGCTGCTGCTCTGCGCGATGCCTCGTTCGCGCTCCCCCGCGAAGCGGCGGAAGTGTCGTCATGGTTCCGCGGTGCTATGAGTGATTCACCCACAAGAATGAGACGTCATGTACTGTAATGCTCAGAGTGTATGAGGAATGACGAAAGCTGGAGGTTGTTGGAACTTGGAACGGAGTGATGATCCATGTTCCACGTTCCACGCTTCGCCACGAAGCCACTATTGAGGTGTGCCTGGCTTTCCACCCTCTCTCTGGTTGTACTCGTTCCACTGTTCCGTGCAGTGGAGTACAGTGCAGTTCTGCACGGTGCAGTGCCGCGCAGTGCAATGGTGAACTGGTCGAAGGAGCAGTGAGTTGGACCCACACGTGGCCCACAGGGATGCCGACGACTAGCTGCGAGGACAGTTTCCGACGGTGGCTGGACGTGTGGGTTGTGCGAAGTTTCCGAACCTCATTGGTTTTCCTGGTAACCAAAGTTGCAACCGTATGGTGTTCCTGATTTACCCATTCCGTTATAGCTATTTTTCCTGTGTCATAGCACCTTTTGCAAAATGGCTTATAAAACAGAATGATTGCAAAATAATGTACGTCTTGTTTTCGTATGGCTCATAATATCTCTTTCAGTATACAAGTTTTGCCCCCACAGAGCAATTTTGTTTTGTTCAACTTCTGAGGTGTCATGCATTGTTGCAATGCAACTACGCATATAAATTGGCATCCTGGATTGGATCTTTCATTTATCCTGCTGCGTTTTCCGTTCATGAAGCACGTTTGTGTCTCACGGACTGGAAAACTCGAGCATTCTTGCACGTTATGAGCCCACCAACGACCCACACGTGCATGTGTTACGAAAAATAGACGCGTGTCCATGGTTTCACAAGGTCTTCTCTACTATTCTCCTCTACTCTACGTTGCATTCAAGCGCAGCTTTCTGCCATTGCCATTGTGATCCGTGAAACCTTATATCGTGCCACAAACCGCTCCGCTATTGCCCAACGATGTCGTAATATGATCCTTGGAAGCACGGATTACAGAACATTCAAACCAAGGCTACAAGCTAGGTCCTAGGACATTCCCAACTGATCGGAACCAGATGCTGCCACTTATTTGATACTCCTACAGTGTATGGTTACTATGCACTCGCCAGCGCCGCACGCTCTACTTACGCGGTCTTGAAAACAATGCAGCGGCGTTGCTGCAAGGCGAGTGAATGAAAATGACAGCACGGGAGAAAATCAGACGGAAACAGTAAATGACTTGGGTAAGTGGGACTTTATACTCGGGCAAGCGTGCTGATTGACGTCTACTTTTCAGACAGCTCACATGAACGGACTAAAGCGGAGTAATAGAGCTGCCATTCTCTAGTGCCACGTACCTCAGGGAATCTCATGCGGGTATCACCGCTGTTGAGGTAGCCGCTGCGGGCGAGACGAGTGTTGTCCATCCGCAGCACGATGCACCTATTCTTATACAACTGCAAGATTTTTTCAAGAATAATCGACATATAGCCATGTCAAAGGTTGCAGCGATCCCAGCAAGAAACAGAACACATGCAATACTCATAGTAACTGGGTAGTTATGTCTATCGAACTTACAGGGACGACGTCGGGGGTCATGGGGTACATGGCGACGAGGTTGGTGTTGACGTAGGAGCTGGGCCCGTTTCCCGCTCCCTTGAACAGAAACACCTTATCACACGTACGCCAGTCCGTTCTCTGCATTGATGCGAGACATTATGAAGAGTGGTAAGTGGGAATCCATGGCCAAATTGTTGCTAGCACACAAGAGACGACCCGTCATCTAAAATGGTCGTCTAATTGACGTTACGGCGTCAGCACTCATCTCGATCTTCTAATTTGGGTACTCACTGGCGTCATAATGCATCCGTTGTACTCGTTGTTATTGCTCGTGGATAGCACGACGTCACCCGACCTGGAAACAGCAAGACAGAAGGACTTCATAACGCAAGATCATGCAAAAACGTGGACCAATAAAAGGTTGCGAAGCGTATTACAGGAGCTCAGGAGGTGTACGACACGCTGGTGAACAAGGCGGACCAGGATGCTTACTTGTGCATGATGAAGGTTTGGCTGAGCATGAGATTCATATTGGAGGCGCGTATCTTGAACGTGGGGACAAAAGGCTTCATGCCACGTGGAGGCTTGAAGTAAAAGTCGCACGCCTGCATTTTTTTCCCGCAAACAGAAAGTAATCAGCCCCGCTCACGCGTGCCAAACTAGTCTAAAGCAGGCGTTAAGGCGTACCTGTAGGGGTGTCGCACATTGTGCAGCTGCACCTACTACGAGGGCTGCACGCACGAAAGACGAAAGGAGGTGAGATGGTGTAAACAAGCTAAAACAGCTACATGCTTTCGCTCTTTGCGGCTGTTTCAAGCACCTGAGATGAAGATGAAAACGCTGAGAGCACGGGCCATGGCGACAGCTAGGTACGATGTTGTGGAAGCAGAGTCTTGGCAGTGATTGGAGCTTTGATTGAGAGAACCCCAAATAACTGGAGTATGTTATATGTGAGGCGCATCATCAGCCCCCTGGTTCGCTTTGGTCAAGGTCGCGGCACGGAGAAACACTTGTTATTTTCTGGATAACCCGTTTGCCGCGCACATCCCCGCACGGACCAGAAATGGATGAGTGGGGGAGTTCAGCGCAGCCACGGAGTGCACAAAAACTAAATGTCGAGAGGGGGAAAAATCCATTGTGCCTGACATGAGAGGGGATGACGGAGTTGCTGCTGGTTCCGACTCCAGAAGTCATAAATTCATCCCACCAAGGCGTGGCTGGACTTGAAGTCAAAGTCTGCTGTCCTGAAAGACGGAAAGCTGAATTTACTACACTTGAAACAATTAAGTATTAATAATTGTACCACTGTCTGTTCAGCGGAACCAGACCTCGTCACGTCGCAGAAAACTCCCGAGCCGCATATGACTCTGGCTCACGAATCGAGCCACGCCGCGTCCTCGACAACAACCCAACACTCCACTGTCATGTTCATGTCACATCGAGGTGAAGGGCGGGTCATTCATTTTCGATACGGGTCTGTCTGACGCGGTTCAATACGGTCATTTACGTCTGGACGCGGCTCTACACCATCGCGCACCAGGATTAACCTTTCTGAATTACCATAATAATAGAAAGTATGACCCGCTCCGAGGTCTTCTACAACGTTGTTTCAATGCTAAATCTCACCATATAACTTTAGAGAGCTTATTGGAGCATCTTTTGAAAGGGGGTGGGGTGGGGGTGATGTATTCTGGGAATTGTGGAATCACATACCACATAACCAAACCACTCATGGTGCACTACTCAGACACAACATTGACGTAGTGTGGAGAGTGCAAATTGTGATTTTGGGAATGGGCCACTGCACCATTGAGATTCTTCTTGACCTCTTTGTATTTTGTATTCAAAGAATCCACATAAACCAACAATCACTAGTCCAGGAATATAATGGAAATAATGGAAGCCAGTCAGCATAAGACGCTTGACCTAGAATCAGACCTCTAGATGCAAGGATAATCTGCACACTGTAATATTGAGAATCAGTCCCAGTATTACACATCACTGAAGTCTCCACATTTGGATTTCATTACAAATGCAGCCACCAATTAAGAGAGTCTACTTACAGCGAAAGCGTATCACTTGGTTACAACTATATTGAAGAGTTCCTTCCAGCTGTCCAGTGCATCACATGATTCCGGCGCCAGCAGCAGGCACGGGAGCAGGCTGCAGGCCGAAGTGCCTCTGCATCAATACGCCCACATCCTCAACCGCCAAATAACTCTCCATCCGAGGCTCTTCCGCATCATCCCGCCACACTCTCACGTTCGGCGCAGCCTTGCACTTGCCCATGCACTTGCACGCCTCCACATGCACGCCCGTTCCCGCTGCCTGCGCCTGGAAGGCGGATAGGATCTCACCCGCCCCGTTCTTCTTGCACTTCCCGCCAATGCACACCTCCACGTCCCCCGCGACAGTCACACCCACCGCCACGCTCCCTTGCAGCGGCGAGGCCGCGGTGTCGGGGAAGACAGTCGCAATAGCCGCGGCGGGAAGGGGGGAGGCGGGCGCGGGGAGCGGGGAGGGGGAAGGCGGTGTTTGCACAGGGGGGAGCTGGACGGGCGTTAGGAGGGCGGAGGGCAGCGCGGAGCTGGTGAAAGACGCGCCTCCAGCAATCGCGGAAACCACATCTTCGATCTCCCACACCTTGGGGGTTTCCGAGGCTACGTGTGCATGTGCGGCGAGAACCGACGCCACTGGATTGGCTGGAGCGGCGGGGGCAGACTGAACAGATGACGGAGCGGGGGGCACGGCGACTGGAGCTGCGGCGGCGGCAACAGGAGCAGTGATAACAGCCGCACCGGCAGCAGCAGCCCCAGTGGCGACGGAACCCCCCACGCTCCCCCCAATCCCCATCATCCCCATGGCGCCCTGCTGCCGTGCTTTGCGGCGCTCCATGCGCCTGGCCTTCATTCCCCCCATGCCGCCGTCGCTGCTAGACGATGAGGACGAGGAGGAAGAGGAGGAGGAGGAGGATTCCATCATCTTCTTCTGCGTCTGCTTGAGCGACTTGAGCTCCGCCTTGATCTCCTTCAGCTCGCGAAGCACCGTCGCAACGAAGTCCTGCCACCACGCAAAGGATCACACGACACGTGCGGTAGGTATATCAGAAACTGACCCGGTTAGGTTCTTGATCACATACATATGACGAAGACGCCAGTCAGCAAAGAGTCATCTCTTACCGCGTCAACCGAGGTGGCCGTCGCAACGCCGGTCTGCCGTTCGTCCGAGTCAACGGCTTCGGCCAAGGCGACGAACTGCGATTCCAGCACTGCCGCTTTCGCCTTCAGCGACCGCTTCGCCTCCTTAAAGCCCTTGCTCTCCTTGTCCGCCTTCTTGCAGCGTACCGGCTCGTAGAATGATCGACACGCGTCATCCTGGAAGGTTGCCACGTGTCTCAGCAGAGGCACGCGGTGTTTCGCGCGAACTGCACAGCTGCTGAGTCGAGAGGCGGCAGAGACTGGCCGGCAGTCTAACGACGCTGATTGGGAGGTGCACCTTCCGCCAGCCGCCGACGGTGCGAGCGATGCGGAAAGGCATGACCCTGGCGCGACTTGGACAAGGGCAGCCATGACGTTAAACGCGGCGTCAAAGTGATAGAAAGTATGCTGCTGGCTTGGGATGAGCTTCGAACGAACGGTAGCTAGCTGTTGAAGCGGAAAGGAAACCCTAAAGTCGTGAGCAACCAGAGCGAAGAGGTGTGCTGAGGGATTCGGGAGGGGTGAGGTGACGCTGGTGTCTTGCTTGAAAGATTCAAGGCTGACTCGTTGCCCTGGAGAGTGTCGGTTGGTGTAGCAGCAATGACGTGGATTCCACTTGGCGCGGCGTCATGCATCACACCTCAAAGGGAGGAACTGGCAGGGCTGGTTCACGAATCAAGCGATTCAGGTGCTTCCCGAATCACCCTGATACTGGTGAGCGACAAGGGGTTCGTGGAAGAGTCCACGTAAGCATCTCCATCGACGGTATTGGAGATGTTGTTGACGACATCGATGGTGCCTTCTTGATGCAAGCATGCCTACGTGTAGCACAAGTCCAGACTAGATTTCGACGTGTACAGAGTCGCTCCAGTCAACTCGTGTCTGACTTGCCGTACGTGCGTGGCAAGCATACTTCCCGCACGCCCAATGCCCAGCCCATACTTGCATGCTCAAGAAGCCCAGCAAGAATTGGAATGTATCGCTATAGCGTTTCCTAGGTTTCAACGTGGAGAGTACTGCAATGGAAAATCGGAGGACTTCGAAACTGTATGAATATGACAATTTTAGCACGTGGTGTATTCTGTCAAAAAAAAAAGTTTAGAAAATAAAGGAGACACACAATTTCAGCACCTTGTTTACACCCAGGAGTAGTGACAAACGTTTGTGCTGCCCCATACTGGGTTTACATGTGATCACCACAGCTGTGACAGTTAAATCTTAGTTGTACAGTACCGCGTGCAACTAGGCCATTGCAAACAAGTCATTACCATATAAAGCACAAGCTCCAAACAACATCACATATGAATCAGGTGCAGCATCATGCGATCTGCTTCTGGAAGCTCCAAGTAATGGAACCATCTTGACAGAGGCCGAGATTGACAATGGGGCAGAAGCTCTACTGCCACATCCGTCACCTGCAGCCCACGGTCGTGCAGGGCCTGCAGGAAGCATGCCATGGTGAGCGGGTTGCGGTGCGTGGAGGCTATGAAGGCATAGGGGGGCGGAGGCAGGGAGATGGGTAGTGGGGAGGAAGCGACATGTTCAGGGATGCCGGCGTGCTGCGTGGGAGCAGCACGGGCCATGTCAGCTGGGTGTTGATCTTGCCAGGTGGTGCGCTCCGTGCATGCGCTGTGCACTGACGTGGACAGGAAGGCTGCCAGCGCATCAGCGAGGGCGGGGACCACGGAGGGGTCGTACACGATGTCAGCACCAATGATGACGTCAGCAGAGAGGGATGATGCAAGCGCGGGTGTGACCTCTTCCCAACACAGCTGCTGCACATGCACCCTTGCACCTCCCTCCCCTCCTGCACACCCTTCCCCCCCCACGCCCTCCCACCCTTGCATCTCTGCGGCCCCTTCTGACCTATTCCCCTTGCACACCTCCTCTCTCTCAGCGCTCTGCTCCTCCTCATGCGCCCTGTGCTGGACGCCTTGACTCGGGACTGCTGTGCGCTTGCTCCCATGAGGGCGCAAGGGGTGCACGAGAGGAATCTCCGGGCTCGAGGAGAAGGGCAGCGCATTGGTGGCGAGGTTGGTGCAGAGGTTGGTGAGAGAGGCGGTGCTGGCGTCTGTCAGAATGAGCTGGGGGAGGTGAGAGGTGGGGGGAGGGCGGGAAAAGGGCATCAGAAAACGGCAAAAAAAAGGGGGAGTGAGTGAAGCAGAGGCTGGTGAGAGAGGCGGTGCTGGCATCTGTGAAGTTGAGGTGGGTGGACAGGGGGAGGGGTAAAAGAGGGAAGAGGGTGGCGGAATGGGGATAATGGGCGGGGAGAGGGGGGCGGTAAAGGGGAAGGGTAGCACAAGAATGCGGAAATAGGGGAACCAGATGTAGGATGGGGAACCAGATGTAGGATGGGGAACCAGATGTAGGATGGGGAACCAGATGTAGGATGGGGAACCAGATGTAGGATGGGGAACCAGATGTAGGATGGGGAACCAGATGTAGGATGGGGAACCAGATGTAGGATGGGGAACCAGATGTAGGATGGGGAACCAGATGTAGGATGGGGAACCAGATGTAGGATGGGGAACCAGATGTAGGATGGGGAACCAGATGTAGGATGGGGAACCAGATGTAGGATGGGGAACCAGATGTAGGATGGGGAACCAGATGTAGGATGGGGAACCAGATGTAGGATGGGGAACCAGATGTAGGATGGGGAACCAGATGTAGGATGGGGAACCAGATGTAGGATGGGGAACCAGATGTAGGATGGGGAACCAGATGTAGGATGGGGATCCAGATGTAGGATGGGGAACCAGATGTAGGATGGGGAACCAGATGTAGGATGGGGAACCAGATGTAGGATGGGGAACCAGATGTAGGATGGGGAACCAGATGTAGGATGGGGAACCAGATGTAGGATGGGGATCCAGATGTAGGATGGGGAACCAGATGTAGGATGGGGATCCAGATGTAGGATGGGGATTCGCTGCTCGTGTGAGCGAGGATGACCTGGATAAGGTGGAGAGCAGCAGAGGAGAAGCGAGGAAGGGGGACGGAGAGGCATGTTGCAGCTGCACATGGTGTTCAAAGAAGGCGAGCAGGCTGCGTCCACCATGAATCCAGCAGTCGCCTACCCTACAGTGGCGTGCGGAGACAATGCGGTCACAATGCAGAATGGTGCCCCCCTCCACTTGGCATGGTATGAAACACCCTACCACCACACACGACAATCCCCACCCTCCCACACACCACACAAAGCACGCTGCCCTAATTGCTCGTCTCCAATCCTCTCCCAGACGAGCACACACCTTAGCAAGTGGGAGGGGCGAGAGGCACAGCCCCAGCAGCCCACAGCCCGCCCCCAGCTCCACGCACACTGGTGCGTTCACACGGCGCGGTGACATTTGAGTCGACTCAAAAGTCGCCCCCAGCTCCAGGCACACCGGTGCGTTCACAGGGCGCGGCTCCCCAGCCACCGGCGTGCTGCCAGGGCCCTTAGAGGCTCCCACCGCAGCGCCATCAACAGGGGCGGCAGGTGCCCGTTGGATTGAGTCAGCAGGCGCGGGGGTGGGTGTAAAGGGCGAGTGCGTGGAGGGGCGGTGGTCAGAGGGGAGGAGGAGAGACGGGTGCGAGAGGAGGGCCTCTGCGAGGAAGAGAGAGGCCGGCCATGCCGTGCAGCTGATGGGGGAGAGGAGATGGGTGCCATGGGGGGACACAGGGGGAAGGGAAGGGGCGAGGCATGTAGACGAGCGCGAGAAGTTTAGACGCATGTGTGGCAACAGGGTGCCATGGGGATGCATTTGCATGTGCATGTGCCCAGGTAGGTAGACGCGTGTGGAAAAGGGAAGCAATGGCGCATCGAAGCAGCAGCATAGCGCAGGGGAGGGGCGAGGAGCGAGGAGCAGGGAGAAGGAGAAGAGCGTTGAGGGTTGAGGGTTCCAGTGCTGCTCACCCGGTGGCGCCTCTCAGCATGTCACGGGACACGCGCACCGTGAGCGCATAGGAGGAGCCCGCGGTGGGGGCGATTGCGTGGGAGGAGACTGCGGAGCCGCTGGAGCTGTTTATGTGCACGCGAGGGTAGGGCGGGCAGGAGGAGAGCGGTGGCAGGCGTAGGGCATACGTGTGGAAGCACCAGGGCGTGCTGTCTGCCTTGGTGCGTGTGTGGCAATGGGGATGGTGTGTGCGGTGCATGGCGGGGGGTGTTGGGGGGTGGGAACGGGGGTGGATGATAAGAGGGATGGCAGGTGGAGAGTGGGAGCTGAAGGCATGAGGTTAAAGAGCGTGATGTGCCGCAAAGGCAGGTTGGTCTCTGAGCTGAGCTCTCCATCGATTGGTAAACCAACAAGGGCGTGCAAGAATAGACAGGACACATGTTGAACAAGGCCCAGCACACGAAATGAGGCACACGAAATGAGGCACACGAAATGAGGCACACGAAATGAGGCACACGTAATGAGGCACACGTAATGAGGCACACGTAATGAGGCACACGTAATGAGGCACACGTAATGAGGCACACGTAATGAGGCACACGAAATGAGGCACACGTAATGAGGCACACGTAATGAGGCACACGTAATGAGGCACACGTAATGAGGCACACGTAATGAGGCACACGTAATGAGGCACACGTAATGAGGCACACGAAATGAGGCACACGTAATGAGGCACACGTAATGAGGCACACGTAATGAGGCACACGAAATGAGGCACACGTAATGAGGCACACGTAATGAGGCACACGTAATGAGGCACACGTAATGAGGCACACGTAATGAGGCACACGAAATGAGGCACACGTAATGAGGCACACGAAATGAGGCACACGTAATGAGGCACACGTAATGAGGCACACGTAATGAGGCACACGTAATGAGGCACACGTAATGAGGCACACGTAATGAGGCACACGTAATGAGGCACACGTAATGAGGCACACGTAATGAGGCACACGTAATGAGGCACACGTAATGAGGCACACGTAATGAGGCACACGTAATGAGGCACACGTAATGAGGCACACGTAATGAGGCACACGTAATGAGGCACACGTAATGAGGCACACGTAATGAGGCACACGTAATGAGGCACACGAAATGAGGCACACGTAATGAGGCACACGAAATGAGGCACACGTAATGAGGCACACGTAATGAGGCACACGTAATGAGGCACACGTAATGAGGCACACGTAATGAGGCACACGAAATGAGGCACACGTAATGAGGCACACGTAATGAGGCACACGTAATGAGGCACACGTAATGAGGCACACGTAATGAGGCACACGAAATGAGGCACACGTAATGAGGCACACGAAATGAGGCACACGTAATGAGGCACACGTAATGAGGCACACGTAATGAGGCACACGTAATGAGGCACACGTAATGAGGCACACGAAATGAGGCACACGTAATGAGGCACACGTAATGAGGCACACGTAATGAGGCACACGTAATGAGGCACACGTAATGAGGCACACGTAATGAGGCACACGTAATGAGGCACACGAAATGAGGCACACGTAATGAGGCACACGTAATGAGGCACACGTAATGAGGCACACGTAAATGAGGCACACGTAATGAGGCACACGTAATGAGGCACACGTAATGAGGCACACGTAATGAGGCACACGAAATGAGGCACACGTAATGAGGCACACGTAATGAGGCACACGTAATGAGGCACACGTAATGAGGCACACGTAATGAGGCACACGTAATGAGGCACACGTAATGAGGCACACGTAATGAGGCACACGTAATGAGGCACACGTAATGAGGCACACGTAATGAGGCACACGTAATGAGGCACACGTAATGAGGCACACGTAATGAGGCACACGTAATGAGGCACACGTAATGAGGCACACGTAATGAGGCACACGTAATGAGGCACACGTAATGAGGCACACGTAATGAGGCACACGTAATGAGGCACACGTAATGAGGCACACGTAATGAGGCACACGTAATGAGGCACACGTAATGAGGCACACGTAATGAGGCACACGTAATGAGGCACACGTAATGAGGCACACGTAATGAGGCACACGTAATGAGGCACACGTAATGAGGCACACGTAATGAGGCACACGAAATGAGGCACACGTAATGAGGCACACGTAATGAGGCACACGTAATGAGGCACACGTAATGAGGCACACGTAATGAGGCACACGTAATGAGGCACACGTAATGAGGCACACGTAATGAGGCACACGTAATGAGGCACACGTAATGAGGCACACGTAATGAGGCACACGTAATGAGGCACACGTAATGAGGCACACGTAATGAGGCACACGTAATGAGGCACACGTAATGAGGCACACGTAATGAGGCACACGTAATGAGGCACACGTAATGAGGCACACGTAATGAGGCACACGTAATGAGGCACACGTAATGAGGCACACGTAATGAGGCACACGTAATGAGGCACACGTAATGAGGCACACGTAATGAGGCACACGTAATGAGGCACACGTAATGAGGCACACGTAATGAGGCACACGTAATGAGGCACACGTAATGAGGCACACGTAATGAGGCACACGTAATGAGGCACACGTAATGAGGCACACGTAATGAGGCACACGTAATGAGGCACACGTAATGAGGCACACGTAATGAGGCACACGTAATGAGGCACACGTAATGAGGCACACGTAATGAGGCACACGTAATGAGGCACACGTAATGAGGCACACGTAATGAGGCACACGTAATGAGGCACACGTAATGAGGCAGGGAAGAATCATCGTGGGGACAAATGAGGAGAGAAGCGTGAGAGCGAACACGTAAGTTAGTCATGTGATTTAAAATCTTCCTGTAGGAGCCAAGCACCGGGTGTGGTTATCCCGGCCATGCGAGTTGAAGCAGCATTCGACCAAGTAGCTGCCACCCTTCATGATCCTTGAGCACAGCAAAGGTGGGGCAGGGCAGGGTAGAGGTGGGGCAAGGCAGGCTAGAGGTGGGGCAAGGCAGGCTAGAGGCGGGGCAAGGCAGGCTAGAGGTGGGGCAAGGCAGGGCAGGGTAGAGGCAGCACCTACAGCAGGGTAGAGGCAGCACCTACAGCAGGGTAGAGGCAGCACCTACAGCAGGGTAGAGGCAGCACCTACAGCAGGGTAGAGGCAGCACCTACAGCAGGGTAGAGGCAGCACCTACAGCAGGGTAGAGGCAGCACCTACAGCAGGGTAGAGGCAGCACCTACAGCAGGGTAGAGGCAGCACCTACAGCAGGGTAGAGGCAGCACCTACAGCAGGGTAGAGGCAGCACCTACAGCAGGGTAGAGGCAGCACCTACAGCAGGGTAGAGGCAGCACCTACAGCAGGGTAGAGGCAGCACCTACAGCAGGGTAGAGGCAGCACCTACAGCAGGGTAGAGGCAGCACCTACAGCAGGGTAGAGGCAGCACCTACAGCAGGGTAGAGGCAGCACCTACAGCAGGGTAGAGGCAGCACCTACAGCAGGGTAGAGGCAGCACCTACAGCATGGTAGAGGCAGCACCTACAGCATGGCAGGGTAGAGGCAGCACCTACAGCAGGGTAGAGGCAGCACCTACAGCATGGTAGAGGCAGCACCTACAGCATGGCAGGGTAGAGGCAGCACCTACAGCATGGTAGAGGCAGCACCTACAGCATGGTAGAGGCAGCACCTACAGCATGGTAGAGGCAGCACCTACAGCATGGTAGAGGCAGCACCTACAGCATGGCAGGGTAGAGGCAGCACCTACAGCATGGCAGGGTAGAGGCAGCACCTACAGCAGGGTAGAGGCAGCACCTACAGCAGGGTAGAGGCAGCACCTACAGCAGGGTAGAGGCAGCACCTACAGCAGGGTAGAGGCAGCACCTACAGCAGGGTAGAGGTAGCACCTACAGCATGGCAGGGTAGAGGCAGCACCTACAGCAGGGTAGAGGCAGCACCTACAGCAGGGTAGAGGCAGCACCTACAGCAGGGTAGAGGCAGCACCTACAGCAGGGTAGAGGCAGCACCTACAGCAGGGTAGAGGCAGCACCTACAGCAGGGTAGAGGCAGCACCTACTGCAGGGTAGAGGCAGCACCTACAGCAGGGTAGAGGCAGCACCTACAGCAGGGTAGAGGCAGCACCTACAGCAGGGTAGAGGCAGCACCTACAGCAGGGTAGAGGCAGCACCTACAGCAGGGTAGAGGCAGCACCTACAGCAGGGTAGAGGCAGCACCTACAGCAGGGTAGAGGTAGCACCTACAGCAGGGTAGAGGCAGCACCTACAGCAGGGTAGAGGCAGCACCTACAGCAGGGTAGAGGCAGCACCTACAGCAGGGTAGAGGCAGCACCTACAGCAGGGTAGAGGCAGCACCTACAGCAGGGTAGAGGCAGCACCTACAGCAGGGTAGAGGCAGCACCTACAGCAGGGTAGAGGCAGCACCTACAGCAGGGTAGAGGCAGCACCTACAGCAGGGTAGAGGCAGCACCTACAGCAGGGTAGAGGCAGCACCTACAGCAGGGTAGAGGCAGCACCTACAGCAGGGTAGAGGCAGCACCTACAGCAGGGTAGAGGCAGCACCTACAGCAGGGTAGAGGCAGCACCTACAGCAGGGTAGAGGCAGCACCTACAGCAGGGTAGAGGCAGCACCTACAGCAGGGTAGAGGCAGCACCTACAGCATGGTAGAGGCAGCACCTACAGCAGGGTAGAGGCAGCACCTACAGCAGGGTAGAGGCAGCACCTACAGCAGGGTAGAGGCAGCACCTACAGCAGGGTAGAGGCAGCACCTACAGCAGGGTAGAGGCAGCACCTACAGCAGGGTAGAGGCAGCACCTACAGCAGGGTAGAGGCAGCACCTACAGCAGGGTAGAGGCAGCACCTACAGCAGGGTAGAGGCAGCACCTACAGCAGGGTAGAGGCAGCACCTACAGCATGGTAGAGGCAGCACCTACAGCAGGGTAGAGGCAGCACCTACAGCAGGGTAGAGGCAGCACCTACAGCAGGGTAGAGGCAGCACCTACAGCAGGGTAGAGGCAGCACCTACAGCAGGGTAGAGGCAGCACCTACAGCAGGGTAGAGGCAGCACCTACAGCAGGGTAGAGGCAGCACCTACAGCAGGGTAGAGGCAGCACCTACAGCAGGGTAGAGGCAGCACCTACAGCAGGGTAGAGGCAGCACCTACAGCAGGGTAGAGGCAGCACCTACAGCAGGGTAGAGG